TCTGCAGACTATCAGAACGCAAGCGAATGCACCCGCCCCTTCGGCAATGTCAGGTCTCACGGGCTTAGCCAGCACACACAGAGGCAGCGCTCCTGATACTGAAGTAGACCCTATTGAATGGGGTGACATGGACCCAAATTTTCGCCAGGCTTTGCAGAACTCCCCTGAACTCCTTAAAGCTTACAATACTGTACGCAACCCGAAGAAAGTAGCTCGACTGGATCCCGCTACTATCTCCTTTACGCCCACTACCAACATTGACCTTCCTCTCCCCAGTATTGAGACTCCACCCCCGCAGGTTACTATGGACAACCTCAGCACGGTACTTGCGCAGTACCACGAGCAGACAGTGCAGCCCTCTTTGGACCTGTTGTCAAACCATATTAGACAAGAAGTTATCTCCCGGCTAGATAAGCAGGGCTCCGTAATCAGGTATGAGGNNTTGGAAGCCGATGCAATTCGTCGCACAGTTTTGATCCATGGTTTGCCGCCTTTTACCACAAAGTCGCAAATCGATCACAATTTGTATTACTTGCTACAGCAGGCTCAGCTAACGGAGAGCGATATTCAGACCACCTCGAACCATGTGAACACCTCCACTAATGCCTTCTTAAAAATTACATTCCTACAGGAGTCTACCTCAAAACAAATTTTTCCAGTCCTTCAAGCAAAAGAACCGTTGGTACCACTCCAATGAGCAAGATGATGTACCCCTGCGCATTGAACGCGATGTGCCTATGTTGGAACGTATAGAGCGTACTCCCTTGCATGCAGTGATTGACTCCCTTACCAAGCCCCAACCTCCGGCGATGGAGGAATATTTGAGATGTGATTTCAACTCCCTTCAAGTTTGGGATAACGCGGAAGAAAACTTATTGGCCCAGGTTCTCTACCTTCCCGACAAGCATCTCAGCTACGCCTGTTACCTCTTGGTTGTTCCACGGTTTTTTGAGGAGGTTCGCACCCACTTTCCCAGGTTTTTTGGGGATAAGCTTTCAAGCACTATCCAGTTTATGCAGGCATATGCTTCGGCTAGCCGCCACGCTACTACTGCCCTACGGTATCACTTTTCACAAACCAAGGATGTCTCCAACCTTAGTAGGGAGGATGCAATTCGCTCTTTTCCTTATCCAATCTATCCGGTGGAGATGGGTGATGAGCTCTGCACGCAGCTCTCGAAGAACCCGAACTTCATACTCCAGGGTTTTATGGGTATGCAAACTCAGATTCAGCAGGCCGTTTCTGATCTAGGTATCAACCTAGAGGACTATGGTAGAAAGGGCAAAGGCACTACCCGCACCAAAGGCAAAGGCAAAGGAAAGCGCACCGAACGCAGCAAAGGCTACCAGTCAGACATGTACCGCAACCAAGCAGAGGAAGAACAGGATACAGATGAAGACTTTAAGCCCAAAGGTGGTAAAGGCTCTTGGCGCAAAAACTCTAACTACTGGGATAGGCCTAGCTCTTCTAGGGACACTGGTAAGGGCTCCCGTGCGCATTGGGACGATTACCGCCGCCCGGCAAGCAGCAGGATTGACTATGGAGGCCCTAAGGATCGCCCAGACAAATGGTGGAAGGCGCGCGACTTCGATGAATACGACTCAAAGTTTGATGATTTGGTTCAGGACTCTACGCGCCGACGCAGAGAGGACGATCGACAGCAGGAGGGTCGCCACACGCGTCAGCGTGGCCGAGGCTTGGATGACCCTTCGCTCTTTTTTCCTTGTGAGGAGTGTATGGCTCTAGCAGGTACTAATACCTCTTGCGGTGTTTGTAATTACAAGTATTAGACGCACTACGACGTCACTACGATAACTACGATAAGCTTAGGAAATCGGAGTTGCTCCCCAACCTGAATAGATCCTCACATCCCAAGCTCCCCAGTTTCCCATGTCCTTTCCCGCTCAACGAAGAGTCGGAACTATGCGATGGTGGCCAGTCTCCGTCCTTTTTTGGTCATGGTAAGTGCGCTGCATGTAAATCGCTCCGCTTGTACTACGTTCGCCTATTCGGTGGTGATGACGCAGAAGCTATCAACCCCTACTATCATACTCTTATTGTGGGCTACGAATGCTCAATCATAGAATACTTGGAGGATACAACTGCAAAACTCCAGCAAGCCTTGTGTGATCTCACTTACGAAGACCTTCACGACAAGCAAGCAACAGATGTGCAAAATTGGTTTTATGCGGTAGCTTTTCCGGAGGATATCCTAGCCAAGCTCCCCAGAACATATGTAGATCCAAAGTATGAACCACACAAATCCTCCTTCCTCAGAAACAAGTGGCCAGAATGGAAGCATTTAAATCGGGCAATTGGTGACGCCAACCCCCATAGCTACAGCCGAATGATGATGCTCTTCGAGGCGGCCTTGCGGCCAGCAGTTGAGGAGATGCTCTATTGTTTCGACTTACCCTCCCCATCCAGAGTCCCAGGCTTTGCTGATATGGGTTGGGATGATTCCTCTCTTGTGGTTCAGGACCTTATCCCGTGGAGGGAACTCATTCGACAATCGTACGCCCTGGCAATGGAGCGGCGCGGTATCCCTAAGGAATGGGATACCAGTTGTATCAAACAGTTGTGCCACTCTCTTTTCTCGGACCAGCACGACTATCTCTTTGAACAAGCTGTAGATCATCTCTGCGATGTTATCTTTAGGGATGAAGATATGTGGACTGTCTTTGCGGGACACGCCCCTGGACAAACGAAGCCCTCAAAAAGCTAGCTAGTTCTGGCTCTTGGTACGTTGATCTAGTCTACTACCAGGTCACTGCTCTTTTTAAGTGTCAAACCACCAAAAAACAAGACCTCCCCGCCCCGAACGATCAGTTCGTTATGTTCTATGATTCCATGGTAGATCGTCTCCCTCGCCATCACCCCCTCATTGATAGCAAGACTCACCTCCTTTCGCGTCATTGGAACAACAAGGGTAACAGCTTGGAGGCTCTCATGTTGCTCGTAGCTGAAACCGGAGCACACGACCTTGTTTGGTCAATAGGGTACATCATCATGAATCTGCAGTTTCGCAAACAGCGTCTCCCCTGGATCGAAGATTACCTTTGTGCCTGACCCAGGTGGCTATCGCTAGCCACGTCACAGCTGGCCTTTATGGCCCTTTCTGAGTTTTCTTCGCTTCTGGAATGGTCCCGCCTCTTGGCTTACTTTCTCCACCAGATATGTGAAGGATATGCACAACTCATGCTGACAAAGATTTACCATTGGTATGCATTCACCAATGGTCGGATTTACAATTGGTACCGTTTCACTGTACAAAGCGTCGAAGCCTTTTTTCAACAGGACCCTCCACTACTGAGGCCGCCCTATCAGGGCGCTTCTGTGACAGCGCGTCATCGCGCAGTTTTGCTTAGTTTCGCCGTAGTTTTGCTGTTTTCCGCTTGTACAAAGTCCGAGTGTTCAGCCGATATCGATTTGCCGCGCACGTGGAACGCTAGAGGCTTACATAGCCAAAGTAGCAGCTACTGCCGTGCCTCGTTTTTTTTCCACAGT